GGCATCACATTTAAGCTGATAATGCCCCAAATTATACATGCAGCCCAGATTTCTCTCCTGAACTCCAGATCCTAATATCCAGTTGCCTTCTCGATTAGACATCCAAAAGGCATCTGAAATTGAGGACACCCAAACTCAGCTCACGACTAGCTCCTCTCCTCCCACATCTCCCCAACCCCCCTTCCCACTATCTTCCCCATCCTGCTAGTTCCCCAGGTCCAAAACCTCACAGTCAATATTCCCTCTCTCCCCTTTCATCTAAAACATCACAGATTCCCGTTAGTTCTACCTTTGAAACAGACCCAGAATCTGACCACTACCACCATCTGGATGAATGCAGAAGGGTTGCACTCCTTCTGGAGGCTTCAGAAAAATTCTACTGCCTTGTCTTTTCCAGTTGCTGGAGGCCGCCCATGTTCCTTGGCTCCTGGCCCCTTCCAGACATGATTCCAACCTCTTGTTTCTGTCATCACATCTTCTACTACTGTCCCTGATCCTCTTGCTTCCCACCTCTAAGGACTCGTGATTACACTGAGTTCACCTTGGTAATTCAGGATAACCTCCCCATGTCAAGATTCTAAGTCACATCTGAAGAGTCCTTTAACCAGGCAATGTAACATCTTCCTACGTTCTGATGATAAGGATGGGGGCATCCTTAGGGTACCCTTATTCAGCCTACTGTACCATCTCACTCAGAGTGAAAGCCAACATCCTTACGATGCCCTACAAGATCCCATGTGACCTAGTCCCACTTCCTATCTAAGCTCATCTCTTCCAACTCTCCCCCTCGCTCACTCTGTTCCAGCCACACTAGTCTTGCTGTTCCTCAAGACACATGCCCACCTTTGCCCTTGCTCTTCCCTCTGCCAGGAAAGCTCCCTCCCTTCTTTGGGTCTCTGCTTAAATGACACCACCTTATGAGTGAGGCTTTCTCTGATCATTCTGTATAATACAGCAAGACCTTCCCCTCTATGTGGATACCTCCCACGCTTAATTTTTTCCCAGAGCACTTAGCATCATCTGATATGCTTGCTATCTATCCATCCATCCATCTATCCATCCATCCTCCCCCACTAGAATGTCATAAGGGGTGTTTTGTCTCTTGATTTATCCTCAGGAAATAAAACATGAAGCAGGGACTCAATAAACAGCTGTCGAATAAGTGAATTTTACTTTATTGGAAAAGTAACTTCCTTGGAGACAAAACCTGTTGTAAAATAAGAACTTAATAAATGTTTGAAGGAATGAATAAATGAATGGGTGAATGACAGACCCAACTGCTATCTAATTTCCTATAGGAATATGGACTAACATCAAATCAAGTGCTTTACAGTTTAGGAACCAGGCATAACGGTTAAAGTAGCTTATTCAGGGATGCACAATAGGAAAGTAATACAATTACATAAGAAAACTCCCACCAAGCCCCTGACTTTATTTTGTGTCATCCTTGCACGTCCTTAGATCTGACAAATCAGAACTCATCTGAAGTCTCTTGCTTGGTTCAAATACTCTTACCAACAAGGTCTCAACTTAAGAAACTCCAAATTTATTTTTAAAGGAAACTTCACAGAAATCTCAAAAGCATTTACCCTGCATATTCAGATATGTAAAAGAAAAAAAATGAATACACAGGGGAGAGATCACTAGCTGTACTTTAAAATGGACCCTGCAGGGGCCAGCCCGGTGGCACAGTGGTTAAGTTCGCACGTTCTGCTTCTCAGCGGCCCGGGGTTCACTGGTTCAGATCCCGGCTGTGGACATGGCACCACTTAGCATGCCATGCTGTCATAGGCATCCCACATATAAAGGTAGAGGAAGATGGGCACGATGTTAGCTCAGGGCCAGTCTTCCTCAGCAAAAAGAGGAGGATGGGCAGTAGTTAGCTCAGGGCTAATCTTCCTCAAAAAAAAAAAAAAAATGCACCCTGCAGCAAGTGGGTGCTGTAGGAACAGATATAATAAGCTTCAAGTACTTCAGTCCCTACCACAGCTCGTCAGCCAGCCAGGCAGCTCCAGATCACCTCAGATATGGAGTACACAGCCAAACAAAAGACATTCCTCCTGTGGCTGTCTATTTACTGAGGGGAAAGAACCTCTGGGACAATGCAAGTGGCCTGGAATGGAGTACCAGCAGAGCAATTCGTTTTGCAGATGCCACCTCATCTGCATTTCGCACAGTGTTATTCTAGCCCTGCTGCCCCCATTCCGGTGCCAGGCATGCAATTGTTCACACTGTATCACTCTCCTCCTGCCACCATTGTGGGGTGGGGGCTGGGCAGGTGTCGTGTTTTGTTCCAACTTGGAAACCGCATTCTAGGAATCCTCTTAGTAGGACACAGATGGGAAGAAATAGACTGCAGAGGTTAGGAATATGGGCCTGGAGGACAGACTATCAGGGTCCAAATCTTGCCTCCGTGACTCAATAACTGGATCCCTATGGACAAGTCAGCAACCCTCTCTATGCCTCGGTTTTCTCTCCTCTAAAAAGTTGGCTTACTATTCTTATGATGATTCCAGGAGACAGAGCAGAAAAAGCACTTTATCATAGGGCCAGGGCACACGAGGCCTTAATACATACTGGCTGCTATTATAATAGCTACTATTACATGACTGTGTATTATTTTATTCTTGACTTGAAAAAAATCACTGTCCAAAAATAAATAATACATCTGTCTTCATCTTGAGTTGAGATTTTTAACAGAAACTCGCAGGGGTTTATCATTTATTTCTAGCTAAGTGTTTGCCTGCAATTAGGGAAAACTGCCACCAGACAGATGTTGAGATTAAGCTTTTCTAGGTATAGCTTGCAAAAATAAAGTCATTTAACAATTTCCTTCTCAATTCTACATTGTTTTTTTTTATTTATTTTTTTTTATTTTTTCCTTTTTCTCCCCAAAGCCCCCCAGTACATAGTTGTATATTCTTCGTTGTGGGTCCTTCTAGTTGTGGCATGTGGGATGCTGCCTCAGCGTGGTTTGATGAGCAGTGCCATGTCCGTGCCCAGGATTCGAACCAATGAAACACTGGGCCGCCTGCAGCGGAGCGCACAGACTTAACCACTCGGCCACGGGGCCAGCCCCTCTCAATTCTACTCTTGAATAAAAAATATCTAACTTGTTATTGGGGAGCTTAACAGAAACATGAGACAAATATGACTACAGGCAGGATTGAAATAAGATAGGCAATATGAGTAAGATTCCAAAATATTTAAGTACATATGTATATGTGGGTTCAACTAAGTATTTTTCTAACAAATTATTACCTGATGGAAATCATTGATTAATTTAATGACCTACAGTGCCTCATGGCTTGAAAAATGAAATAAAATAAAACGACAACAAAATACACATTGTTTTTTTCACTTCTTTTAATCACACTAACCAAGGATGCACGCCAGAAGCACTGAGGGAGCTTTACCAACTACACAAGAATTAGTCTCACGTGTGCAGGTTCTGATTCAGCAGGCTGGGGAGGGAGCAGTATCTGTAGTCTGCAAAAGTCCCAGGTGTTACTCATGCTAACACCAATGGTTCACAATCACCATACAGAATCTTTCTTTCGACAAGAAGTTTTGTGCCTTAAAAACTTTTGCAAAGATCTTTTCCTGATCCTGTAGCCTGTTCCTAAAGTGAGACTTGGCTCCTTGTAACTTAGCGAAGAGAAGGCGAGGACCTGCCTCAGCCCTTAAAATCAATACAAATGCCTCTAGACTTTTTACACCAACGAAGGAGCTAAAGCAGATGGGAAAAGCGGGGGTGAAACTTTACATTTGTTCCATGAAATCATGTGAATGCTCTTTCTTTAGACCAGCGCTGCCCAACAGAACTTCCCTTTGGAAGTACTGATGGAAATGTTCTCTATCTGCATTTTCCCATGGGGCCACATGTGGCTACTGAGGACTTGGAATGTGTCTTGTGGCTCCCATACCGGACAGCGCAACTCTGGAGAGCAATCAAACTCCGCCTCCTGGTGGCCTTCCCAACACCTTGCTATCTGAGGTCCTTGTTTCATCCACTCATTCAGTACATGTCCCTTGACACCTACTTCATACCTAGCACATGACAGGCACCGGGGACAGAGCAGGGGACAAATATAAACTTCTGCGCTCATGGAGCTGCCATCCTAATTGAGAATAACTGGCCTCTGTAAAACCACCAGACGCATTTGAGGTACTTCCTCAAAGAACTTTGGGTTGAATGTGTTTTTTAAAACTATGGTATTTTGGTGCAGAAAAGCAAACAGTCATAGTTTGGGAAACAGTGCAGTTCAATGTATTGAAGCAATGAGAGGATTCCGAGAGTCTGCACGAGAAAAGAAAAGTGAACTCATGAAACTTTCCCAGAAGAGCAGCATAACCTCAGTCACAGAATAACTGGTCTGGATGTTATCTCTGAGGGACGTCGTTAGCCCACCCCGGACCATCTGAATGACGAGGCAGAGTGGTAAGATTCAGCCACCCTGGGAGCAGGACTGGGGAATATCAGCTGGAATATGTTTCACAGTTCCCACTGGAGATGGAATCAGGAGAGAACCAAATTCATGACTGGAAAAGGTATTTTCAAGCAGCTATCATAAATACTTTAATTATTTGGTAAAAGTTTTCAAGGGATTAAAACAAAAAATTAAGGGATTAAAAAAATAAGAGTGATGGTTTGATAAAAACAAACATCACTAGCTAGTAAAGGAGGAGCCATAAATGAGACTATTACCACTATCTCAGGCTCTTTCCACTACCCTGTGCAAGCAGCTGAGCTGGGTCATCTTCTGTCTGCAGTTTCTGAGACACTGGATGCTGCAGCTGCTGAACACAGCATCAGGGCAGGTCAAACCCATAACGGCTAACCTCTGGCCAAGGACAAATGCTACTAGAAATGATCAGAATTGGGTGCCTCGGTGGAGGAGATTTGCCAAGAAGACGAGAGAGGGTTGTGCAGAATTGCAGCATCTGGATCATCATCATTAACTAAACCCAGAACTCAGATCATTCATCAGCAACCTTACCTAGTTCTGGGGGCAGGACGGTCAGGCGGTTCCCCTGAATGTGGAGTTCCTTGAGCTGAGTAAGCTCCCCGATTTCCTTAGGCAGCGAGATCAGGTCGTTATCCCTAAGGCTGAGCTAAATATAAGAAAACAAGGAGTTGTCAAAACAATTTTCACACCAAGAGGCGCTCAACAGAAACTCTTGTCCTCTTTCATGCCCTCTCTTCTTACAAGGCTCAATCCTTCCAATTTATTTACAAGTGTCTGGAGATGAACAAGAAACAGTTTCAGGAGTAGTGGTTTATTCCTGCAAAACAAACCACACTCCTGCTCAAATTGACTTGATTCTGCTCCTACAAGGGCTGCAGAAGTGAATTGATTTTCTGAGAATTTAGATAAATTACTTACTATCTGCAACTTTGTGAGCTTCCCAATATCTGGAGGCAGGATTTCAAAATCGTTGTCACTTAGATAGAGTGCACGCAGGGTGGCTGCAAATTAAACAGCAATATATAAACAGGGTGGCATGGAACCCAACCATTTGAGGTCTGATCAATACAAGGGAGTCAGCTTTGATTAATAACCTTGGCTTGGTGAAAAGCCAGTGACATACCTAGGGCTCACGATAATAACAAGCAGGTCAAACTTAGATTTACTGGCTTATTGTGGGGCTGGTGTGTTTAGGAAAACAGCTATATCCAAGAGAACTGACACAATTAACAACTGGGGACCAGCAGTTTCTGGCACGGAGTCGCAATACGCTTTCAGAAAAGATAGCTACTTTTCTCCTATTACTTCCGAATCACATTTATGGCTTGATTTGCATCCAAAGTAAAACAAAGAAAACCACTGTGTCATTTATATCAGTACTTAGTGTAAAAGGGCTCTTTCGCGTAAATGCAACTATGTTAAAAAGAAAGAAACAACTAAAAGGCTTTCTGGTGATGAAGGCCACAATCACTATTTCATTGTTTCCACAATCAGGCTATATTATTATTACTTGTTTCTATAGCCTTAATGACAAAAATAAACGAAGACAAAGGGGCTAAAATAATGACATGGAGTTTAAAAAATAAAGAAAACCCTAACTTAGACAGAATATCAGTAATCAGATTTGTTCACAAAATAACACAATACCATGAACCCAAACTACTGAAGGCTAAAAATCCTAAACCATCTTTTTATCCTCAACCAAAAAGGAGGAGTATAATCTGATGCATGTTTGGTTTGTTGACATTTAACTATAGTCCAATGTTTTAAAACTTGACAGAACTGTATGTTAACATACGTAATAAAAACAATTGCTTCCATGGCCCCAGAAAATATTTTAGAGTTGGTTTCAGGTGCTCGAGAAAGTCTGAGAGAAGAGTCTAGATAAGGTAAAAAACGAAATTTTAGAGACTAGCTCAGAAAATTCAGAACTCCTAGATGCCACGTATGTCACTATCTGGAAAAGCAGAACTCTCACTGAAGGAAAACAACTCTTTCCTAAATATTTCAGGAGTTCTCAGAAAATTCCGTTTTTCCTAATTTTTATGACCATCTGCAGCAAGAAATCTGCTTGCGTATAAAAGGATAAACGCTGTTCATCTGCGACTAGCAATTTCTTAATGTTTGTATATTAGACAATATAGACTATTATCAATAAGAGTACTTTTTTAAAGGCCTAAAACAAGAATTATGGCTGGAAATTTTTAAAGTTCTGTGAGAGTTTATTAAAGGATATTTTTAGAATATGCTTGGGTAAACAGCCTATAAAAGCAACAGGAGAGGCCACATGTTTTGGTTTTTTATTTTTATTTTTTTTTCCACATTCTTTAAAACGAAAGCCAAGTTCCTTAGCTAAATATGAGACTTGACCTCATTTAGGTACATAATCTGTCCTGGAAAGTTAATATGACATTACCAAGTCTACTCCAGCACAATGGTGTCAGGTAACTATATATCATATATACATACTGCTGAGCTATGGAGGAATACTCAAAAGGAATCTGTGAAGAAAAAAATATAGATTCCAATAATTTCTCTGGGAGTTTGGGCCCTGGCAAATAAATTTCCCTTTTAGAATGCAAAGGACTGTTTTAAGGAGATTTATAGAATTAAAAGTTTCTTACTCAGGTAGAAGAAGTTTCCAGGAAGAGAACTTTCATTCAAGTTGTTGTAAGTCAGATCAAGGACCTCGAGAGCCGGGAGGGAGCCAAACCCGCGAGGCAAAGTGTTAAGTCTGTTCATGCTGTTGTTGGGGAAAAAAAAAATGCAAGATGTCACACACAAAACATATATTCAGACAGAACATTCAGATCTCCACAGACCCAAGAGCCACAGGCGAGAGGCTGAAAGCTTAAAAGAGGCCATAATTCTATAATCACTTCATGTTATTTTAACCAACCTAGTAATTTTGGTCAGAGAATCTGTATGTTCGGCAAACAGTTGAAAATGTCTTAGTTGTCATTTTCTCCAATGGTGATGCTCAATCATTGTTTTACATAGAAACTGAAATCATCATGAAACATCTGTCCTTCTAGAGAAAAACTTCCTTATGAATGAGCAATAATAAGAGCTCCAAAGATACAATCTAAGCTTACAGTTTTCAGATTTTTTGCTTTACTTATTCCTCCCAATGGGAAAAAAAAAGTAACTTTTTGTGCAACTACTAACATTCAAAATTATCTCCCAGGAGAAAGGTGGTTGCCAGGGGCTGAGGGAGGGGCAAATGGGAAGTTGTTTAGTGGATATAGAGCTGTGTGTGATGAGAAACTTCTGGAGATATGGCTGCACAATGATGTAAATATACTTAACACTACGGAATTGTACACTTAAAATGGGTAAAATGATAAATTTTATGTTATATGTATTTCACCACAAGTGAAAATAAAATACACATATATCGCCAATGAAATCGAAGGGAAATTGTCTATTACTATCTTTTATTATTTTCTTCAAGATCCTTATTTTTCTTAATGCAGTTCCCTTTGAGCATACTTAAAAGCTGACAAACATAATTTTAAAAAAAATCTAATACAGGCTGACAGATACTGAAAGGTGGGAGGGACTGTGACATTAAAAATAATTCTAGACATCGATCCTTCTCCTACTAGATACAACCCTGTCCACACGCACCACCCAGGCCTCATAAGAAACAGCTCAGAGCAGAGACAGAAGCCAAGAGAAAAGTGATTGCCACCTCTTGATGGGTATGAAGTCCTAGGGTAACCTCACCCTCAGCAAAATAACCTCCATGACAATTTATTGTAATGACAACAACTGATATATCTGCGAATTCACAATCTGTGAAGCACACTTATGTCAAGTATTCCACCTGGGTCATCAAAACTATTGTGTAACACAGGCAGGACAGTGCTTACAATTCTCTCTCTAATGCTGAGAGGAAAAAACAGGCCAAGAGAAGGTAAGTACCAAGGACTTCTGACTGCACAGATGAGGTGACAGGTGTCTGAGAGCACCTAGCGCTCACGGAGGCCAGAGCAGCCCCAATCCCTGGACTCCAGCGCAAGGATTCTGAGTAAACCAAAGGAAAAATCAGAGATGGTGAGAAAAGCACAGAAGTATACAGCAGGTGCTTCTTTCTTTACATGTTGCTCTAAGTTTCCCATTTCTGCAAATCACCGATAACTTTCTTCTCTCCAAAGACAGAAGTACACTTTTGAAACATGAGGTACAGGAAATGGCAAAAGTCTACTAAATTGCAGGTTCTCTTTCTTCTTGAGCAATAAACCAATCCCGCCAGCGTGTCAGGAACGCGGCAGAGCCTCCATGCAGGTGACAGTAGTAGTGATGGCAGTGGGCCCACTAACCTGCAGGCAGAAAGACAGCTCTAACTTCAACGCTGCTGGAGGTCTGGAAGCAGTGCTGACACAGTCCCAGCTACAAATGATGCAAGGAGCTGCAGGGACTACTGGCTGTTTCTCTTGACACCAGCACATGCACAGCCAGCAGACAGCACTTCTCTCTGCAGAAGGACAGGTAACAGGCGCTGGCTTCCCCTACAGTGGGTGCTAACATCCATCAACATCTACACATGTGGTGCATCTATTCCCAGGGCCCCCTCCAAGAATGCTGGCACTCAAGGATTCCATGAGAGGTTAAAGGAGGGGAAGTGGAAGAACAGAGGCCGGTTAGAAGTCCAGCTAGCTGGATGACCTTGGGGAAGTTACTCAGCTTCTCTGAGGCTCAATTTCTTCAACTGTAAAATGAGGATACCAACAGCTTCCTGGCAGGATCACCAGGAGAAGGAGAAAGAAAACATGTGAAGCATCTGACACAACTTGTGACTTACAAGTAGGTTCTCAAGGAATGATAGGTATAACTACAATTATTTTTCAGGAAGTCAGAGATTTTGACCCAGCCTCAAACAGGCAAGCTCACATTAGGAGAAGACCACGGTGGAGAGCCTGAACTATCAGGAAAGGCTTTCCTATCTGCAGCACACCGGCTTACTCTCCAATCACTCCAGGTGTTTCAAGATAAAGCAGCTCATGGCTCAACCATGCCAAATGGTATAAATTCTTCTGTTCACCAATGAACATTTTTCAAATGTGACTGGAAATGGGAAAATGCCTGCATATGATGGAGCAATGTATAAAACAGATAGTCAAAGGCTGTTCAGCATCTTTTTTCCTTCTCTTTTTCAAAAGCTGGGAAGACCCAATCTAATGCTTCCCTTTTGGAACATTTTGATCTCTGGACATCCTCTTGGGCAACTCTTGCTTCAATAAGACCTCCTTGGCTAAAGGCAAAAATGTCTCTCACCTCCACCTGCTCACACATTTAGCAAAAAAAAAAAAACCCCAGAAACCCACAAACAAAATCCAAATCCACGAACATTTAACCCTGTGCTTGGTGAAAACTTCCAAGTGTTCACGAGATGAGCTCCGGCATCCCGCTAGGTCAAAAGCTATTCCAGAAGAGTTGAACATGGTTTATCATCCCAAATCTCACTATATCCTATAAAGTAATAATTACCAACATGTAAGCCTAAATATGACTTTACATTTTTGCAAAGTAATAAAGAATTAATAACATAATTAAACTTTCCTTTATTTATTCAGATGGCCAAAAAGTTCTTTCAGGTCTTGGTAGTCAACAGAATAAACAGCAAATACTATATAAAACTGTGAAAGCAACTTCTAAGGGGATATGCTGTTTGGATCATGCATACGCGTGGCCTAACTGCTCTGCTGTAGGGTCTCCTGTGTATGTTTTTATTCTGGCTGCTTGTTCTACAGAGTCCTCTCTCTGTGACTTGCCTTAAACAGGGTGGTGCAGGTGTAATTCTTTATGCCACTTGAGGACAGAAGTATCCCTTACTGAAACCCATGTCAATTCCTTTCCCAAAGAACTAAGAATTTTGCTCCAACTTTGACCACCCTATCTATGCAGCTTTGTAATTAAATACAGAAAGCTTTACACAATCAATAAAGCACCAAGAGCCAAAGATGTGAACAGCTCCGAAGACGACAAAGAGGCAACTAAGATGCATTTGATCAAAAAGGAAAGTTTAAAACTTTGTCCTAAGCCACCTCGAACCCAGCTGAACAAGCCTGAGCTGATCATCTTCCTGAAGCTGTCTCCATCTCCATCTCTATCGCAGCTGCCCCCGACAGACATCCAGGGATCGTCCCATCCCATAGTTACTGTCTTCCCAGTTTTACCTCCTATAGAGTTCTCACATAAAACCCTCCCCTGCCTCCACTATCACTGCCTTAGTCCACCAGGAACGCTAACCTAGCATCTTACAGGTCTCCTGACCTCCTGTCCAACCTCTCCTCCACATGACCTTTCATATGAAAATCTGACCTCATCTCACACCGCTACTCCACTGTGCAAAGTCCTCCACGGTCAGCAGGATAAAATCGGAGTTCTTTCAAATGACATACAAGACCCTTCACTAGCATGTCGACTCCGTGCCTTTATAGACATTTATTAGTTTATAGCCTGTGTCCCCAACTGTGATGTACGCTCCTTAAGGGCAGGATGGCCAATACTGAGAACAGAGCCAGGCACACAGTTGGGAGCTCAAGAAATGCTCATTAAAGGAAGAGAAGACATTTGTGCTTCTCTGTCTGGCCTCACCTCCTATCTTACCACCCCCTGCCTCACATGTTATGCTCAGCAACACCAGGAACTTGCAATTCCTGGAACATGCAGTGCTCTGAGCTTTTAAATATGTCATTCTCACAATCTGAGATGTCTTCCCTCTACTTGTGAGGTTGAGAAATTCCTTCTCATGCATCAAGTCTCAGCTCAAATGCTACCCTCTGTAGGAACCCTTCCGAGAGTGTCATCTGTGGTCTAACAGGCTCCTTGTCCTTCTCTCCCACTGCCGTTCAACAACTTCCACACATCAGTGACCAAACTGAATGCTGTCACTGTTCATTTATAGCTGGCTTTGCCTCCACACTGAAGGCCAGGGGATGTGACTTCCACCTCTGACCCCCAACGCCAGCAAGCTTCCTGATGCAGAATTGGCACTTACATGGTCATGAAATAAATGAGTAAATAAAACAATGATGATAACAATAGGTAACACTTATGTACTGGTTACTATGTGCCAGGCACTGTTCCAAGCACCTTATACACAAATAATAACTCATTTAATAAAGGATGAAGAAATTAACAGTAAGAACATACCTAGTTTTATACATCTAGTATACATGCCTAGTTTTAGCTTCTTTCTTACATGTAAATTAAACATTAAGACTTAATAATTTTCAAAACAAAGATATAAATGCAGGATCCTTTCTTTTCTGCTTTGCCAAATGGGTATACAGTCTCCACTACTTGTAGGAGAAAAAGCCATATGATCTAAAGTGATATTTCCCCTCCTTTAAACTCTACTTCCCCTTAGACATTAGGAAAAAGAATGCTGACGGATCTTACAAAGATTGTCTCTTAACCAGAGTATACATCAAAATAAGGTATCAGGGCCGGCCAGGTGGCGCAGCGGTTAACTTCACACGTTCCGCTTCGGCAGTGTGGGGTTCAACGGTTCAGATCCTGGGTGCAGACATGGCACCACTTATCAAGCCATGCCATGGGAGGCATCCCACATACAAAGTAGAGGAAGATGGGCATGGATGTTAGCTCAGGGTTGATCTTCCTCAAAAACAAAAAAAGAAAGAGAAAATAAGGTATCCACCCAAACTCCCCATGCAAAAAAGGAACTAAAAATCATTCCTGGAATGAGATTTTCTTTTTCATGATGGATTCCTAAGAAGTCGATAAATAGCTAGCCAGCGTCTATTGCCACTCCATGTAAACCACTAACTTAACAAGAGCATTTCATGGCTATAATTTAATGAATATACTACTTCCGAAAGAGGATGAAGCAAGAGTGAGCGGTTTCATTTAACAGCTATAACAAGGAAGCTGGAATTCAGAAGCCCAACTTCTGGTGGCATCTGTGGGATGTGATGGAGAGGGCATGTGGTATGTGATGGAGAGGGCATGGATCCAAGACAACGGGGTTTTCTGTCCAGCTTGGTCACTAGCCTCAGGGGCAATCAGAGCAAGTCCCTTAACCTCCCAGAAAGGGTTTGGCTTCCATTCCATGAAATGAAAGCAACAAGCTCTGCCCTCCCCCCACCCATCATTGTTGAGAGGGTCAAATACTGGCAAGAAGACTCTGAAAACTGCAAAGCAATATATGGTATTATTAATATTCACTGCTACCTGGTTCTCCAACCTCAGCTGAGTCCAAACCCCTCTCTTCACTTTTGTATCAAGAAAGACACAGGACTATAACCTCTCAACCATACAAAAGAATTACAAGAATCAGTGAAGAAGTGTTAGGAAAGGAACCCTTCCCTCCGTAGAAGAAAGGTGCTTTGTGAATTATTTCTATTTAATACAGAGAGAAAAATCGACCATATTCCAACTGGTCTGAACAGTTAATGTTATGCCAGTAAGTCCCTTCCTGGTCAACATAACTGAAATAAAATTTTATTGGAAACAAAATACAGTAAAAAAAACTCCCTTATTGCGCCAACAATTAGCTTCTCGATTAGCTCTCAAATAGATATGGGCTAACGTAGGCCAATAGAAAGGATGTATTAAAACAATAACACTTTTTTAAAAAACCTAAAACGTAAAAGAGAAATTAGAAACCAGCTCCTCCAAGGCAGTAATCCAAATGGCGCCCCTGCCCTCACCCACAGCCCACACTCCTCTTCCGCTCTCTCCTTCTTTTCCCTTCTCCTCCTCCCCCAAGACTCACCCGAGATTCAGGTGTTTGAGTTTTTGAAGGCTGCTGATCTGTGTGGGCAGCTCCTCGATCTGGTTATTGAAAAAGTTCAACACTTCCAAATTCTTCAGTTCTGCTATGTTTGCTGGCACAGCTAGGGAAACAAAAACGCTGAGCGTGAATGCGGGAACCTGCCTCCTCACACAGGGAATGCCAACAACACATCTTGTTTTTCTTTTCACATGAGAGAGAGCTGAAACTCCAATATGACCATCCAATTCACGTCTAGAGCTTGCTTATGTTTTGGAGGTTTTCCTTAGGTAGTAAACTCACCTCCGAGTAGAAACGGAAATGATTCTTCAAAGGGCAAAAGAGAATTTCTGAGCCAACCACAGCCTATAAGTGAATATTACAAAGCATATATACTTGTGTAATTGTCCTATAATGTCTAGTAAGTGCAACTGTTTTCTTCCTTTTGGCTTTCTCACAGCTCCACCAGAAGAAAGTAAACCCCATGACCCTTCCCGAGTCATGATACATTCATCAACCTGTTTCAATAATTGGACATCTGAAGAGCTGCTCTATTCACACTGCACTAAATCACAACAATTTAAGTTCAACTTTAAATGATGAAATATTCAACCTATCCACTTTCTGATTTTGGCTTCTGGCCTTTGCACCTTGATCAATACACACACATACACACACACATAGAGGTTACATCAGATTAGTAACAGATCAATGCACTGTTATTATATAGAAAAATGAAAAACCAACTCAGTGGCATGATAGGAATACTAGTATGCAGATCAGAGGTGAAAATAAACCACTGGGGGCCTGAAAGGTTCCTCCTTCCTTGGAGTCTCTACTTGCAAATACCAATTTAAAAGTCAAAGGCATCTTTACCCCACAAGTACTAACTCTCAATTGGTACAGAAGGATGTTCAATAGGTGGTACTTCACCCATCCCCATCGCTGATTCAGTCCTTCCACAAAGATTTGTTATTGGCCATGAGCTTGTCCACAGTTCATGTCAACTCTAACACCAAGACTATCCAGGTAACTGAAACCACTGACACGGGCCTTGAGTGGAGCCCAAGGAAGTGTCCTGTCTTATGCCAGTACCTTTAGCTCCCATACTCCAGCCCCCTCCAGGGCCTGCTTCAGAAGACTGGGAATACCTGGGAGCAGCTTTGCTGAGAACCATTACAAAGGTGTACATAAAATTCCAGACATCTAAAATATTCAAGGAGATAGCCATTCCAAGAAGTCCAGTGTGTAACTCCCAGGGGGACAAAAGTAAAGAGGACAGCACGCTGTCCACAAGAGTTCTGAGTCGTCATTCACAGCTTTATAAAATGTCTTAAAGTAGCAATGACCTGATTTCTTCTAGTGGGAATGCTTGGTAAAAGGGAAGGGAAACGGTTTCATTGGAGGAAGGGAGTGTCAAGAATACGAACCAGTGTGGACTAAGACGCTCGGGAAGAGGCAGTGGTCCAGAAGGAAGATGAGCAAGGCATCGAGTAGTTACTGAAGTGGCTGGTTGTGAGGATGGAGATAAAAGGATGGATTTTAATGGGATAATTGAGGCAGCTGGAAATTACCTAGAGAAACCGTACTCTTGGATACCAACATGAATGCATATGAGCCCTACCTGGACAATTTCGCTGCAAAAGCACATTTTTAAATGTGTAGTCAATAACACACTTCTGTGTGAATGAACAGTATTCACTCTGTGCAAAGGATCAAGAAGACATTCGTCAGGCTGCGCCTGCTGAGTCGCTGAGTGGCAGCTCACCCATCCCATCCCCGAACCAGGAAGTGTGGGAAGCACAGCCCTACAGATGATGACAACCCTGCTTGGAGACCTCACCCCTTCCCGTTCACCCTCCAGCTACCACTAAGCTTCTCCCTCTGCATTCATCTGATTAGTTTGAAGAGCAATAAAGAAAGTTAGTGCAACCTGGAGAAAATGATGATCTCTATTTAGCCACAAACCAAGAATAATGCAGCCAGAATTACTGCTGCTTTCCCAAAGTTACTTTGCCAATGCAATTAAACCCTGGTCTGAAGGTATCGCCCTTTTGACAGGATGAGAGATTATTTCACTCTCCTTGCTAAATCAGTCCAATTTAAAGCCACAAATTATGCTAAATGTGATTTAGGGCTTCGTTTTGTGGACACAAACAATAACCCCACATTCAATTTACTAAACCTCTCGCAGCCTTTTCGGACACGTGTGAATTTTTTTGTTTAAGACTCCATTCAAGCTACAGGGGAAAAAAATTACACAGCTAATAGTCTCCTTAAACTATAGCATTTTTCCCCCTGGCCATAGTAAAAATCAAAGAAATTAACTTTCAGACCAGTCTGGACAGGATAATATTCAGTCTTTCAACCAGTATTTAGAGAATGTTTATTACGTGCACAGCTCCATACTTCCAGCATCTAGCATTTCAGTATTTTTGAGATAAAGTAAGAGAGGCATGCAATTTAAAGAAAGTTAGTTACAAAGGAAAGAGTATCAGAGTTGAGAAATGGAAACAGGTCTACTGCTTGGAAAACAAACTAATCCCCCAAAACACTGTCCAAAAACATCCCCAGTTAACAACATGAGTTGTGCAATACCTAAATCATATATATACAAGGCATGAACAAGTTTAGCTAATATGAAAAGGTAAGCGGCATTCTGTCGCCAGCCAAAACATCCTGGTAGAATTTTTCAAGACATGTATGTGACAGGTTAGCAAGAAGTATTTTATAAAATAACTAAACAGTGAGGATTATAATTCTTACTACACCTTTGAAATGTTCCTTTCCATTAATCTGTCCAGATTCTGTGACCCCAGCTGTACACATGTGGTCTACAGACAAGGAGCTGAGCACAGAAAGGAAACAGAGGGGCGGTGTGATGTACGAACACAGGAATCCTGGCCTGGTCCTCTCGGGCTGGCTCTGGCCTCCCCTGACTTGGCCCTAACTCGCTGTGTGTCCTCACTCAACTCACAACCTCTCTGGGCTGCGAGTGTAGAATGAAAAGGCTGGACTAGGATCATTTCTAAATTCTCTTCTGCCTGGCTTTAACATTCTATGATTCTAAGAAGAGCTGGATTATGAAAATCAACGACAGGAATTTAAATAATGCAACAAATGGGGCCCTCAATTAGGAAGCTCAGTCACGCAGAACTTTGCTGGTGACAGAGAATTGAGCATCATTTTCTGTCAATGACGGCTGCTTTCATTTTGAGACTTCAGTTGCTAGATGTGCGAGCAAGATCCCTAACCACAGTCAGGTGTTCCCTGACTCCTAAAATGCCACCTTCTGCTCCAGTTACAAGATCCGATGACCACTGGGGATGCTCTTGGCCCAGAGCTTCGACTGTGTTTTGGAAGAAGTGACAAAATGTGGTCATGCCAGGAACTATGAGAACAGAGACTGGACTCAAAGTGTATCTTCGGGCATTTATAACAATTCCAACTAACAAGCCCAGCAGGGCTCTCTTTCCCTCTAAGCCCTCCTAAATCTAAGAACCTGAGTGTTATTCTAGAGTTTCGTCTATCTGAGCACAGCGTGCCAGCCCACTCAGCAGTCAGCCCCAGCACAGTCTCTGGACACTTTCACAACAAGAAGCCCAAAGTCCATGGGGGGCTCAGCAGTGGGGGCCAGGAAGCCAACTCGCCTAATCTTCTACATGAATGTTTCTTTAAAAAGCTCCCTTGGGCAGGAAGGCTCAGAAAACACTCTGGACACAGCAGACAGACCATAGTCCTGACACCAAGACCCAGCTGACCCAGCTCTATTCCTGAGCAACAGCTTGACTCCTTCTCAAAGGACATTATCTGTCCTCATCAGTTGTATTTACCAGAGGCACAGCTACCACGCACTGCACAAGCTGGAGCGTATTCACAAAATCAACATCACCCTCAAGAATATGTGCCCCCCACTAGCTAGCGACAGCTCCCCAGCTCCCCCAACAGAAGAGCCTGAATAAACTACTGTTACAGCAACTGGAGCTTCACTCCAGGAGCATCTGATCCTGGGATCTAAAATTAGTAATTCTACAACCAAGAACTTATTTTTAAAGCATTTTAGGAGTTTATCCTCACAATAATAAACAGCAGGGCATGCTCTGAGGCTGGGCTGGGCAATGTGCAGTCACTAGTTACATGTGACGATTTACCTTTAAATCTAGACTGGGGATGTAAATTGGGACAGCCGTTATAGATAACAGTATGGAGGTTCCTCAAAAAATTAAAAATAGAACTACAACATGATCCAGGAATCCCACTTCTGGCTATTTATCTAATGGTAATACAATCATTATTTCCAAGAGATAGCTGCACCCCTACATTCACCCCAGCATTATTTACAGTAGCCAAGACATGGAAACAACCTAAGTTCCATCAATAGATGAATGGATAAAGAAAACGTGACACGTGTGTCTGTGTATATGTATTCACACACGCACATACAATGGAATATTATTCAGTCATAAAAAGAAGGAAACTGCCATTTGCGACAACATGGCTGGACCCTGAGGACATTCTGCTAAGTGAAATAAGTCAGACAGAAAAAGACAAATATTGGATGATCTTGCTTATATGAGGATCTAAAAAAAAAAACAAACAAACTCATAGAAAAGGAGATCAGACTTGTGGTTACCAGAGGCGGTGGGTGGGAAGTGGGGGAAGTGGATGAAGGTATTAAAAGAGAAAAAAATAATAAATTTAAATCTAGATGAGTCGAAATTAAGTCAAATTAATAATTCAGTCACTTGGTCACACTATCCACATTTCAAGGGCTCGACAGTCACATGTGGCCAGTGGCTACCATACTGGACAGCACAGAGAAGAATCCTTCCACTCCAGAAAGTACTGGGTCGTGCTGCTCTAGAGCAAAGGGTCTCAAACCTTCCATACATCAGAATTACCAGAGCGATTGTTAAAACAAAGGAGGGGGTACCTCAGCGTTCCTGATTCAGTAGCTTTGGGGTGGGGCCTGGGAATCTGCATTTCCAGCAAGTTCCCAGGGGATGCTGATGCTGCTGGTCTGGGGATCATATTTTGACTCAGAAGACTTTTAATTCATTGGTGACATTAAAATCATTACTCCAATACATATGTCCCTTACCCCACACAATAACGCTGATCAAG